TTACCCTACAGACAACACCATGATATTTAGTCCTTTATGTTGGACAGCCAGTGGTTGACAGTCCACCCTCTCTTTGCCCTGTACGTAAAGGTGATACAGGAAACTTAGATTTGGATGCTCCCATTTGAAATATTGGTCTTTGTGATCTGTATCTTTATATAATGTAACTATAGATATGAACTTCAGTCAAAGGGTCTGTAAGTGCCAGCAAAAATGTGATTTTTTGAACAGAGGACTTCAGGTTTACTCCTGCCAAACACCTTTTTTTCAATGAGTTTTTATGGCCACTGGTTCTATAAAAAGCTAACTTCTCATTGATTTTTACTGGGAGTTCTACTTAAAACCAACAATGATATGGGTTGACAATGTGTATTTCAAGACATCTTCTCTCCTTTGCTGTTCTCCAACTAATCCTAAGGGGTTTTTTTCATGGTGGGACAATAATCTGGCAATAAGTATTCCCTATCCATCAAAGCTCTCAAGGCAGTGCCCAATTGCCACTCGGGTGTTTAGGATATAAACATATCCTGTGTAGCTGTAAACTTCGCTGAATCAGACACTGAGCATTATACAGTTTCATACTGTTGTCCTTGTTCTGAAAGACATGTCCTCTTTTTACACAAAACTCACCTTTTCTTTTTAGGTAGGATACAGTTTCCTTCATTACTGGGGGGATTAGTTCGCCTTTATTTTTGTCCTTGATACTGTTAGGAAAACAAAAAAAGAAAAATTAACAGCTTTTAAAAGTCATTTATAGACAAAGAGTCAAAATCGAGACAGAACAGGCTCAGCAAAAATCTGAGAGGTATCTGAGAGCATACATTAAATTCTGCAAATGAAGGAGCCTGCACTATACGCAAGAGTCCTCCACAACTCTTAACAGGTGCTGAACGAGCCATTGAAATGAGTGATGTGGAACTCTATTTAAAGAGCCTTTCCTAAACACTTTGTTCTTGCTAGAAAAGCTGTATAACTGCGATGGCAACGAGTAATAAATAAGTGCTATTTACTGCACTGAAGGGGAATCAAGGACAGAGGAGCAGAATCGTGTTCCAGGCTAACTGTACCCCTACTTGAGACTGTTTTTGCTCCAGTTTTGTGCCCCTCACTTGGCAGGCCCCAGCAGTGCTGCGTTTAACCATGCCACAGTGACGGTGGTGGTGGTGGCTCTGACTGGATGTGGTTGGACTGGAATAGGGTTTCAAGGAAGCTTAGACACAGGCAAGGAAGGAGTTTGCAGCAAATGCTTCTTAATAAGTCTTGATCAAGGGATGCTGCAAGTTTAGGACCCTTTTATCATGCAGATTTTTCTTTGTCATTTGTCTCTTTTTAAGCCACAATGTATGTATAATTAAAAGGATACTGTACTATTTATTTTGAAGGCAAAGTGATGCAATGAGATTATTAACGCTTTGAATGATTCCCATGAAATGAGATTTCTTCCTCTTTCATGAGTGAACAGTTGAGGCAAAAAATGGAACATAGCATTTTCTTGATCTAGACAGCACAGAAAATTCTGCAATTATCTTCCTTATTTAAAAAAAAAGTCTTTGAGAGTTTAAAAAGCATAACAAAAGAGACGGTCAGTATTTGCTGAGTATTCTGCTACATCACTATGTTGATTACATAGTAGTGAACAACAAAATAAAGGTCCAATCTCAGATTTTAAAGTAGACTTAATATATATTTGTGTACAATTTCATATTTAAAAGGTGACCAGCTTTACTGACAAACTCTAAAGAACCAACATAAAAAAAAGCATAGAGATCTGTGACTGCATCATGAGAGGCTGCAAATGCTGCAGCTCAACCACAGAAAATGCAAGCTATTTATACAACATGTAACATAGCCTTAACCTACTGCTGCTGGCTGAGGTTGCACCTGCAGAGGAGAATGATTCTTAAGAGTCTTTTCCCTTTCCAAGCGCTGTGATTCCTTCTTTTTCTGCCTAGGCTTATCACTTTATTAATATAAAGCAACTGATTATAATTGGAGAGTATTTGATCAACTTCTGTAACACTGTTGCATGGAATGAGCAATTCTGTATTCTGTGTTTCAACTACACAAAAAAACTACTTTAAAATTATGGAGTGGTAGGGAAATTGCCAAATCCTCCCCTACTCCTCATATTTGTTTTCCCATAGTCAGAAGAGGCTATGTAGACTGGTTGATTTTAGACCTCCATGCTTCAGGAGGTTAGTCACCCCCAGCTTCATTTATGGGGGCAGTGGAGGAGTTCCTCCAACCTAACTTAGGTACTGAATCACCCCATGGTTTTGCCTCTCTTACTCATAAACTGGCAGGGGAACATCCCGCATGCTATTTCAGCCACCAAACATTTTGATCTCATTCATCACTCCAGGGACACAATGCCGAGCCACCAGTGCCATTTACTCCAGTTACAGTTTTGTTGCCCACCAAGTCCTACTCTTCCTCCTTCCTATTTTTCCTCTTTTATATTTTGTGCGTCACTTCCTCTAGTTCTACATAAAACAATACAAGGTGTTACATGATTGCAATAAACTTGTTAATCCAGCTCCCAGAGCTCCTACTATTTCAAATAACTAGACCATCCTGCTCTTTGAAAGGAAAGACATTGTTCTTTCAGCTACAGAACTAATGAAGTTGCTCTCCTATGGATTTGTATCCTATGTCCTACCTGCTTCCTCATCGCAGTAAACCGAGATAATTTCTTTACATCTTCTATAGCCCCACTTCCCTTGTATAGTATTTTCATTTCCTCCCTTCTTTACCTTGTATTTCTTCATAAGGCAAGGAGTAGCTCATAATTAATCACCATCTAAACACTAACTGGTGCACCCGCAGACCAAAGACAAAATAAAACTGAATTCCTGCTAGAGTTTCTCTCCTTCCAGCCAATGATTTTGAACCTGAAGTGTGTAAAATTCAATACTGCTCTATGTGTGGGCTAATACTACATTGCGGACACTGCTGTATCTATATCTAACAGGAACTGTTCAGAAAAGGGATATTTTCCTTGATGTAAACAAACATAAGAATTTTGACCAAAAATATAACCAAGTTTCACAAAACCATGTTCATAACATGATGATTTTAGACATTTGACCAAATAAATTCTACAATGTATGCAACACACTTGCAGGAAGACTAACAGCAAGGAATGAGTTTAATTCAGATAATCCCGAAGCATGATCTTTTATATGTTAGCAATTCTCATCATTTGCTGCTGCTTGCAAGTATGATCTTTAGATGAAATGATACAACGTCGCGTCCTTACACATTGGCAAGGCACCATTAATTTCAATGTGAAGCAGTACTGACTTGCTGGAGTAACCATTCTCTGCAGTATCATAACAACATGATAATGGCCAGAAGAAAGACTTTTGACCTAACTTGTAAGACCAAGTCCAACCTCAATATTCCCCATTATCACAGACATCTTATGAGAGCTAAACCAGAGGCCATAAGTACTTCAGGAAAAACACCTCACTGACTAGAGAAGGTCATGGCTTGAAATGCCACCAGGAACAAGTTTATGACCTAGTCCTCAGAGCAGCATCCTCTTACTTACAGTGACAATCATGTACCTCTATAAAATATCTCTCCTAGCTGCAAAATCCTCTCAGGAGAAGATGATTTCAGGATATTTATCCCACCACTAATAGTTTCTCCTGCTCCTTCCAGCTTCAGCAATCTTACAGCAGTTTCATGCATGCAAGTGACACTGTAGAGCAGAAGGTCAGCGTCAGTGTTAAAACCACGCAGGAGCTCCACAGTGCTCTCAGACCAGCTCCAAGACCCAGGTTGTTCTCCCCTTCCCCCTGCCTTCCACCTCGACCTTGGAGAAGAAAAATTAACAAGCAACTTTGCTTCAGCACCGTGAGCTCTCATACCAGCCCCTGCAAAAGCTGGCCACAGCAAAGGGAAGCGAGCCACGCAAACACAGAACAGATGAACCACCTACCCTGCTCTGAAAGGCAGCTTCTGTACCCGAATTATTTTCTCTTGCAGCAGATCAGTGTTGTATAACAACCCTGCTGCAACAACACAGAGCAAAACAGGCAGTGACTGTGCAGCTCCATTAATAAATTAGCCTTGCTAATAAACCACGCGAGAAAGGAAGTTTGAGGGGTTCTCTGCACAGCATGCAAAGTTTAAATCCCCAGTGAAATTATATTCCCCGGTAAGGGACTAAACAAGAAAAGGGAGTGGGAGATGAGGTCCGCATCAAGGTCAATGCTCGGGATACCAGCAAGGGGAAGCTTGCAGCAAATCACAGTAAGGCAAAACAAATGCATTTATTTTAGCTTTTCTAATAGGGGAGTTAAAACACCCTCCTTGTGTGTCAAATAATTTTCTTTCCTGTATTCAGATCAGTACCCTAAACATTGAGGGCAACTTTTATTAAAATTAGTCAGAAGTCTAATTCACTTAAATGGGAACATCATCAAGACTTTAATTTGTTTGGAAGCTGTTACATCTTTATTACTGACAATTTAAGCTCATGGAGCCCATTCTCAGTCTCTCCGAAGTTGCACTGATTGTTTTTGCTTTCTTACAGCTGCTTACTCCAGTGGCACCAAATAGCAACTCAGCAGCTTTTATAAATGTTTTCTAATTATTATTGTTACCCATAAATGTGTTTCCCATTTCAGTGTATAAATAGTAAACTGATTATTTACAGCTCTTGCTCCTGCTGAGCACTAGTTTATCTGTCAAAGAGGTGAGACAAATAACTGTGCTATAATTTATAATAATAAAACCTACATATCGTTTTTCTTTTTTCTATGAAAAAAGATACAGTTCATACACATCTACCATTTTCTACAGGATTCCTGTTTCACTTGAAGGAAAGGTTCCTTTCCTAGTACAATGAAAGAGATCCTCCAGATGAATGGCATTTTAAAATAGAGTAGGATATTCATTGAAAGTCACAATCAAAGGACTGTTCTGATTTTGCAACAATGGGAAAAGCTGAGATGCATATTTTCCTATAATTTCACTATGGGAGGAGATAGCGTTTTGTTTACTGGACCTAAGGTGACAGAAAATAATAGCCACAGTAGCCCAGCTAATGTAAATGAGACTGGCTCAGAGGTCAATGAAATTACACCTCTCTTCTCTCTTTGTGGATCCTATCAAGTAACCTGCATTTTTCTTGCCCTGTTCAGGATGGTGTGATGAGCAGCTGTGCTTTATGCTGGACAATGCAAACTGACATTGGAGACCAGGCACTACTACGTGCAATTTGAAATGAGAGATCTCTTATGCTTTCTGCCTAAGAAACGAGCATAATGGAGCATTTCAGTGCAGAAGTATACTTTTCTGTACTGATTCACAGATTGGAATCGTACTGCAGCAACACGTCAAGAGACATCTCTTCTGGTAAAAACAGTAGCCAGGGAGAATCAGTACTCTTCCCTATAGGATACAGGATTAATTACTGCAATGTGCTATATACCAAATGACTCATTTCTAGACAGTGGACAGTTACCACAAAAGGCCTTTACAACATTGTTCTGAAGCAGCATTAAGGATTCTTGGCTGATAATCTTTCTCTCTGCTTTTCCTCTCCTTTTCATTTTATGCCTGCTGAGACATGCTGAGATTTGGTTTAGAATGCATTCTTCCTCCCTGGTCAAGCATGCACAGCATGCACAAGCGGAAAGATTATGACCAAAAGGATAGCACCCTGAAATGTTTATGCTAACAATTCAACAAGCAAAAGCTGCACACCTGTGGCAATTTTGTGCATTTTCTCTGCCCCCTCTCCCCATCCATGCCAATAGACAGAAAACCAAAATATTTCCTGTCTTCTCACAAAAGATATTTAACTGTAGATGTAAAAAACCAATCAGAGAAAACAGAACAAACTCAGTAGTAGTCTGTGCTGGAGCTCAGCTGTAGCCTTCCTTGATTACAGAGGCAATTGGGTGCAGCAACAGGGGTTTACAGGAGCTTGCTGTACATACAGCAGAGGACAATGATTAATTCCTTTCAAGTGTTGCAAATTTAGGAAGCTTCATTCATGCATTTAACTGTATTTATCTGACCAACATAAGCAGAGGGTCTCCCAAACTTTTCCTTGCCTTTTTAAACATAAAATCTTTACTAATGGGTTTTAGAATAAAAATCCTATTTTTCACCCTGACATGCAGTGCAAATTATCGACATATATAAATAAGTGATGAAATAGGATATATTCCGAAGAGCTAATTCCTGC